ACCCCTCGAACAGGAAGATAAAGATAAAGCTAGTTAAAGATGTGACCTGTTGATACTGAAATAGCTAAAGACTCCAACAACTATTACGTCAGTAGGCCTCGTCTGACATTCTTTATGATATGGGCCATATGTCTCGAGACTATGTATATACAAAGTAACACGTATGTGATGTCTAATATGTGACTGACTTGACTGATTGTCTTCTTGGTAATCACACTATCTGCTTCATAGATTACAAATCGTTTCGATGCGGTTGCCGGCATTATAGTGTTTCTCTCCGGTTTCACACACACACACACAAAAGCTAGGTTTATATATGAAACTTTACAGTACGTCTTGAACCAACTGTACCATTTACTGGCTGCTTATAGTTTCAGTGAGCAATTTTACATTCAGTCGTTTGCCATTGCTTTCTGAACAAACAGTTCGGCGCTCATACCGTTGCCTTGATCATTACAAACCGGTCTGCTGGGAGATCTCTTCAGCTAAATCGAACCTGATGAGGTAGAATTAAAGCTTCGTTAAGTAAATACCACGCTTTCACGTCTTGAGCAGTTAGTTTTTGCTGTATATACCAGCTCCATATCAATGTAAATAAATTGGCAGTCTATGGATTATCACGCCGACCGCCTTGACTTCCCATGATGTTTATGGTACTGTGTAGATTTGGTCGATCTATTAAATTTATTAAAAGTCACATCGTGGCGGATTCAGACCTTGGACGATCGTGCCGGCAAATGAGCGAATAGTCACTGAGCTACCCAAGCTCGTCGTGTTTATTTAACCTGAATTACCTCGGTATTAATCTTCTCTGTTGTTCTTGTTGTTGTTGTTATTCATATTGTTGTTGTTCTTGTTGTTTTTGTAGTTGTTGTCACAATTATTATTCTTCATATATTATTTTTTTTTCTGGTCCACATTGTCATTCTTAAACGGTATCTCGAGCTTTTACATTTTCTTGTTATCGCTTCCTTAATTGACACCGACAGAGCAGATCTTGTGATAAAAGTGACCGTTTTTTTAAAACTCCTCTTTAGTTTCATATAGTCATCAGTGTCTCTCAAGCTAGAAGCGAGTGTATCGCGGAGCCAATCATTTCTTCTATTCTGCCTGATTTCGTGTCTGTTCAACCTGCCCAGTGACGAAACAAAAAGATGTTGTAGAGATGTTGTTGTTTAGAGGAGTAGTTTCCTTCCAATAAAACTTCGGGGATTTGAAATTCAAGTTTCCCCCCCCCCCCCCCCCCCCCCCATCTTTCACGCAGAAGTCACCCACTGGGTCGCGGGGGTGGGGTGGGGGTGGGGTTGTTGGCAGTCAGTTACCTCAAAGTTAAACTGTGGGGCCACAAGGTCAGCCAGCTATGTTTGAACTAGAGATTTTGCTCTAGTAAAGGGTTACATTAGGAGGATGATGAGGAACAGTACAAGAAGAAGAAGATGGTGGTGGTGGTGGTGATGATGATGATGATTATGGTGATGATTATGATGATGATGATGATGATGATGATGATGGAAGAGAAGAGGCTAATTATGATAACGAAAAAGATGATGAAGAAGAAGAAGAAGAGAAGAAGAAGAAGAAGAAGAAGAAGAAAAAGAGGAAGAAGAAGAAGATGGCGATGAAGATTATGATGCTGATGATGATGATGATGATGATGATGAAGATGAAGGAGAAGAAGGAGAAAAAGAAGAAGAAGAAGAAGAAGAAGAAGAAGAAGAAGAAGAAGAAGAAGAAGAAGAAGAAGAAGAAGAAGAAGAAGAAGAAGAAGATGATGATGATGATGATGATGATGATGATGATGATGATGATGATGATGATGATGATGATGATGATGATGATGATGATGATGATGATGATGATGATGATGATGATGATGATCATCATGATCATGATGATGATGATTATGAAGAACAATAAGAGGAGGAGGAGGGGAAGAGAAAGAGGAATAGGCAGAAATAGAGGAAAAAAGAATATGGAGACGGAGGTGTAGACGAAGGGTAGTGGGATGATGAGGGAGAAGTTAAGCTACAAGGATACATAGTTATTATTCATTTAATATCGTCATCATCTTCACCTGCACACAGCTAGTTCCACGTCAGGATGCAAATTTTCCTTTCAGATAATTCCAGGTATTATTGTTTTTAATGTGTGATCTTGTTATGCACCAGAGAATTCGTGTTTTTATGAAACGCTTGAATTATTGTTAGGTTAAGCAAAGGTTACAACGAAACACTTACTTTCATTTTTTGATTAAAGACACTCCTTTGTTAAATACCCGGAAAAAATGAATAATAAATCAACGGGCGGCGGCTTCGTGCGATCTGCATCATCACACAAGTGCACTAACACATTACGTCTAAAGATTTAATTTAGGCAATATATTTGAATCCGTTTGCAATCTAACAAAATAAAGAATCTAATTTAAATAATGCGACATTTATGAATCATACACTCACAAATCAAACCTGGTGCATGACTGACTGACTGACTGACTGACTGA